AAAAAAAAAAAAAAAAGAATACTTTGTAGGTCAATTAACAGAGATATCTTGTAATAATCAGAAAAGATAAAAACTTTTTACTCACAGTAAATATTTTCTTCTGTGTTTTATTTTTTCTTCAGAAGTTCAGCAACTTCATGTCATCCTCTTGCATGTAGCCTACAGTTCAGTCATCTCTATACCTGCTCTTACTGATGCAGATATCCTTTCTCTTCTAACAGCATTTGTGAGATCCCCCTCTGTAAGATGACACAGTTTGGACTTTGAACTTTCAAATTGAAATGACATTTTGAACTTTCATAAGATTGGGTCCCTACATTTCAACAAGCTTTTAAATAATTTCCAAGATTCTTTGTGGACCTCACTGCTCCAAGGGCCTTTTACCATCCTTATTTGCATTCTCAAAGGCCAAATGTTATACTACAATTTCAGCCACTTGTAAATGAGGACTCTGGGTGCAGACTGTCTCTTAAAATCTAGCAAGGATTTGAGCATAAGGCTCTTGTGATCCCTGTAAGCCATGCAAAAAGGACAGAACTAGAGTACCTTCTTTGGGAAATGTAGCCCATACCCATTTCATCATGAAACTTTTCTGATCATATGTTTCATCAGGATTAGTTAATTGTTGTAAAGATCTACATAAGGTCTTGTTCCCAGCAGCATATCCTCCATGATTCTGGTTTTCCTGCTGCCCTATTTCTGACAGCCTATTCTATTGCAACCTCTTATAGCTGCATATTTTTTTTTCTTTTTCCTTTTTTGACCGGCTCAGTGCAGCCTGAGGGTGAGGCTGGCACAGCATGTGGTGCTGGGGATCAAGCTGTGGTCCCTGAGCCTTCCTAAGCTTGCTTAAGCAGGCACTTTAGACCACTGAGCCATCTCGCAGCCCCTGTAGCTGCATATTGAAATGAAGATAAAGACCTGCCAATAGGCAGGAATGGGCAAGATGTCCTTTTTACATATCTTACAGAACTCCCAAAATGGACGCCAGAAGTGCCTATGTAAATAGTTTCTGTATTCAAATGATCCTTTCACCTCAGTCTTCTGGATACCTGGGACCCCAGGCACATACCACCATGCCCAGCATGGCCTAGAGAAGCAGAGACGGGGAAGTTGCTTCTGTAATACCTGACTCTATTGCTGGCCAGCCACAGCCACCTCATTCCCCCTATCCTAGGTCCCATGCTACCACCACTGCGCCTGTCATAGCCACTTCCCCTCCATCCCCACCAACCCCTTCAGATGACTGTACCACCATCTTGGGCATGCTGCCTCAGCCTCTAAAAATTCTGGAGGTATAGGCTGAGAAAGAGTCCTTCTACTTTCTTACTGATCATTCCCTCTTTTCTCATTAGGGAAGCAGTAGCAATTGTGGCATCATTGCAATGCACAAAAATTCCAATACAGATTTCACCAATGTCTGTGTTGAAAATGTGACTAGGGAAATCTGCTCCCCACTAGCATGCCCTTCTTTTTTTTTTTTT